TTCTGAAATAAAAACATTGGTATTTTGTTGGTTAAAAAAATGTATATTAACATCTAAAAACATGGAACCTTTTTGTATTAATTTCAAAAGTGTTATCAGTAATTTACAGAATAAATATCAAATGTTTTACTCAATCATACAGCTATAAACCATAAACTCAGAAAAAAGAAAATTTGCAGTGCCGTCTTAATTTTTTCATAACTGTGCATGTGAATAGCTGAAAAGGCTGAGACAGGTTTATGTAAGTTTTTTGGTTCAACATCCGATTCCATTCGACTTGCAAATGCATTATCCCAGCATGCATCAGTGGCCACCCACTCCGACAAGCTTAAACATAGCAAATATGCTGATATCTCATGCCTCAGCCCTGAAACCTCATATATTACAGCTGATATCTCATCGCTCATCCCTGATACCTCTTACTTCAGTTTATTACCTTAAACCCAGTACCTCATATATCAAACCTGATACCTAATAACTCAATCTGTACATCTACATCGCCTATAATCCACTGCGCTTTACAGAATAAGGTTTTGTTGTTTATGGGCCCTTGTGTAATTAGTAGGACAGTTGGAATTTGCAGTGAGCTGACGGCTCTGATTAAACTGCAGTAAATTGTTCGTTTGAGTAAAAATCTTTTAACTTCAATAATTCAAAGAGAGCGAGAAAACCGAGCAGAACCATCTATCAGACTGAAGCTAATTAATAGAGTTGGATAATAAAGAGGCAGAGAGTGGAGGGCAGTGTTGGTAATAGCTGCTCGGGGCGGAGATGGCGGCTAGCAATCTCTTGAATGAGCAGATGTGTATTATAAAGCCGTAGACCCAGCAGACATACTGTAACACGCTGGAAGATTACAGTCGCCACTTCTCCTCCAGCTTCCTAAAGATTTAGACAAGCCTGCAATGAAGATTACCCAAAATAGTGATGAGCTCGCTCGCAGACGGATCCCAGCGCAGTTAAAAGTGTGAATGACGGAGGACATGTGACTCCAGCAGAGCAGATAATTTAGCAAATACCCAGTTTTCTGAGCTTCTGTCATTCTCTTTTCCACACAAACATCCCACACATAAAAACAAACATAATGATGTGATACAGCATGAAGCCTCAACCAAACCCCCAGAGCGACAGCACGGCAAGCAATCAATCCTGCGTCAACTGAACAGATTTTACCATTTGTTGGTTAAAAACAAAACCTTTAATGAGGGACGTGATGGAGGAAGAGAGAATGTGTGAAGTGTATGTGGCACTTTCTGTGAATAGGCAGAAGCTGTTGTGTTGGTCAATAAACATTTCACAAATATCAGGCAAAATATATTAGTTTTTTTCCAGTTAACACGACTGCCCATTTAGGCTAAGTGAAGCTATTAGTTTGTAGTCATGGATATTGCATATTACCAGAGTGCGAATTGTACTTTTTCTGTAATGTTAATTTGTGCAATACACGCTTCAATGAACAAAATGTACATATTTATTTCAATTACTTCTAATTTATTAATTATACTGATTTAAGTTTTCAGTGTAACCTCTGACAGGCAATTTCAGCAGATGTGTGATTCTCAATGATGAGCTAATTTTGATATAAAACAAACAGTTAGTATGTTTACATGGACACCAATAACCCGATTTTAATATGATTAAGACAATATTCTGATTAAGAGTCTACCATGTAAACAGCGATTTTTGATGAATTTAATCTAATTAAAGTCATAATCGAACTAAACAGAAATCGGATTAAGACATGTCGAGCATGACGATTTTAGTTGCATTATTGAAGTTCAGTACAGACATGTAAACATCGCAATCAAACTATTACCGTCATGTAGGATTTTCTCCGCATTTTGCGACAGGATAGTCTATACACACACAGATGTTTGATACTATTCTCTGCACCTACAGAGTCAGTGAAGGACCACAGACACCTGCATCGCGAAATGCAAAGTTTTTTTTTTCCCCATACAGCATGCAATATCAAATTCTATTAAAACAATGCAGCAGTTGTAAAACTTCCAGCAGTTCATACTCACATTCAATATCTTTTTTGTTATGGGGGGCATGCATGAAGCCTTCCTGAATGAAAGTGAAAGTGCGAAACTGCAGTTATAGTCAACAAATTAAAAAAGAAACACTCGGAATTTCATTATACTGCGGAGGAAATATGGGTGGCGTGGTGACGTTAACCGAATTATGTGCTATAACATAAACTGTGCACAATTTGACTTTACTTTTAGGCTAAATATAGATACATACATCTATTTTACAAGAAAAGTGTCTTATAAACACTTATGGTGTCTATTGGTGGTCTAGATCTGTCGGTTTCAGACTGCTGAATGTATATTTTCTTGCATTGACTGTTTGCCGTAATTATGCATTCATAAAAGTATGAACCACTATAGGAGTGGTCAAATATACACACACACACACACACACACACACACACACACACATATATATATATATATATATATATATATATATATATATATATATATATATATAT